TAGTAGACCCAGAAGAGGGGGTCCGGGAGCCGAGGTCGTTAGTAAACAACCACCACACAGGAAATGAAAGCCAGAGAGATGATGGAGAAGGGGCCTGTGCAGAATGAAGAAACTTTACAGGGACTAGAAATGAATGTCAATAGTGAACATGTCTTTTCACGGTACCACGTGGTCTCTCAGGCTGTGGACCCCTTCACCAGCTTCCCCCAAGCGTTTGGGCTGACGAGGTCAGGGAGGAGGCTTGCTCCAGGAAGCTGGCTGGTCCCTGTGACCAGTGAGCAGGGAAAGCCACGTGCTTGGCCCTGTACATTCAGCTTCTGCTGCTGTCATTTGTGGCTTGTGGGTGGACCCTTGGTCTATTCTTTCTAAGCTCACTTAGGGCCTGGAGGTATCTCACCAACCTATGATGCATCTGAGGTCTCGCTGTACTCTGTTCTAGCGCACTGGGGTGTCCGCCTCGAGGGACAGGTGGGGCGTGTTCGCAGCTACAGAAGCCCCTTGGCACACACGCTCCCCCCACCTCAAACTTCCACCACTGCACTCATCAGGGCCATCAGGGGCAGGGGGTGGCAAGAAGGTGAGAACCTTAGCATCCACCTTTATGTAACGCTTTTATTTCCAGTAACAATAAATACACACAGAATGCGTTCTTTTCTGAGATACATTTTAATAAATGAACAATGATTTTATACAATGAGATGTGTTACTGCGTATTAATAAGGCTCACATGGACCTGAAGCAAAACTTCTGATGTGATTTCGCACAGCATATGGCAAAGCCCACATCCCACTATGAGGGAAAGGAAGAAAAGTACTTGTGTGTGCGGGCGCGGTAGCTGGGGGCACTACTTCCCCAAGGGGGTAAGGTCGCTGAAACTCTGATGCTTCCCTGGGGGACACAGCGGGGTTGCATGTCTCCTAAGGAAATTTACAGTCACTGTCTTATCTATTATTACCTTTGAAAGGAAACAGAATTAGACCTTATAGTTAAAATTCACTGAGAACACGTAATCCCCACGCACTAAGAAAATTAGGTGGATAAATGACTTTGGATCTATAATTTTACTTTCAAGAACCAAGTATCCACGTATTCTGCAACTATGCATATTCTCCAGAGCTGGGCGGGGCATGTGTAACGCAGCCTGAGTCTCCGCAAGGCCTCAATCTTACTTTTCCATATGCCAGCAAAAACTGCAGTTGTAGAAATACCTAACCTGATTTTCTCAGAATTTGAACATGAGAAAGATACCAGGTATTACAAAAAGAATTAACATATACATTAATAAATAACTAAAGTACAAAGTGATAATGTAAAATCCTAAAATAGATCAAAATAATTTCCTTTGTACATGAAAATAAGTTGCACAATATACAGTTATAATGGACCCATTCGGTATGTATTTTGCTTCACACATTGGCTCAGCAGAATATCCGTTTAGTGGGTATCTTACTTACATGCAGGTACTGTGCTAATTAAGTCCAGAAATGCTGAATATATGTCCAAATTCCCAAAAAGACTTACACCACACTGTGATGCTCCGAGAACTGAACTCTGAGTTATCCCAGCAACCTTGCTGCCCTTGAAAACAACAGCAGAATTTACTGAGCCAGTTGACAGTTATGGTAGGGAATGTGGTCAAAGTTAATGGGATGGATAAAGCTCCGTGGCTCCTAGCATTGTTTAGCGATGGCATTGTCTCCTGGAGGTGCCATGCTCTCTCCAGCCGGGCTAACAGCGTAGGTGAAGCTCCAGACTTCGGCTATTACTAACTTAAGGCTAGTCCTTATTCATTTGTGAGCAAGGTCCTCCCAGTAACCACCAAGAACGTGACTGCTCTGGGGGCGCCTGGGTGGCTTAGTCGGTTAAGCGTCTGACTTTCGCTTCGGTCACGATCTCGCGGTTCGTGGGTTCGAGCCCCGCGTCGGGCTCTGTGCTGACTGACAGCTCAGAGCCTGGAGTCTATTTCAGAGTCTGTGACTCCCTCTCTCTCTGACCCTCCCCTGCTCACGCTGTCTCTCTCTCACTCTAGAAATAAATAAAACATTTTTAAAAAAAGAAAAGAAAAAAGAATGTGACTGCTCTGTTTTCTAATTTTTCTATACTCTTTAAGATCTTTATTAGAAATGTTTTTAAGAGTCTGAAGATCCTGTCTAATGAGAAATGACTGAAAGACCTATTAAAATTTGGCTTTAGAATTCCTCTCCCAGAAAATTTGTTTGTGATTACGTTGATGGGGTGGGGTGGGGGTACAAGAAAAGAGACCCAGCAAGTCTCTAGCTCATATACAGCTGCGTAAGAACTGGAGAGCTGCATAAGGAAGTAAACAATGCCAGCAGTATTAAGAGACCGGCAGTGCGGGTCAGACTCAGCCCACCAAGAAGGCTAGAGAGCTAGACGAGATTTTCTGAGGCAACTGTACAAAGAGAAGACTTGTAACCCTGGCTAATGTAGCAGGTTTTAAGGTGTTAATAAGCATTTGAACCAGAAGGAAAATGAGGCCTCGATTTTAGAGAAGGGGAGACCCACTGCTATTTGAAGTACTTGTGGAGACAGCTCTCTAGGACCCAGGGCTGGAAGTTAGTACCGGGAGGCAACAGCACTTTGAATATCAAAGAGGAACTTTCTAACAGAACTTTTCAAACATGAAGGCATTGAGCTTTTTCCTCCTGAAAGACATGAACTAGAAATTGAAAAAAAAAAAAAAAAATCATCAGGGTGCTTTAGAATTTAGAGGGACTTCTCTCCCAGGCCAGAAGCTGTTATCAGATTCCAAGGTTACTCTCAAGTTTGAATAGGAGTCTAGGAGTCAGAAGAGTTATCTTTTGCCAAGTCTGTAAGTCTCATCCTGAGCATATTCCCTATTCAGACAGTAAATGTGACCAAGTGTCATAGTGCCATCAAAGAGAACTGACTTACAAACACACCTAGATTTTTAAGATATAAAGATTTTTTTAAATCACATAATCTTTAGACTCACTACATTTAACTATATGGCAACATTTGCAGCAAAGTAAAGCATGAATTCAGGAGAATATTTTAGGTGCTGGTCTTTCAGTTTCTATTCTCTGTGAAACAAATGTGCACCTGTGGTAGATGGAAGGAAAAATCCCTATTCCCAGTGCACTGTAAGTGTCAGCACCGTTTGCAGACTTTTTCCTGAGTAATTAGAACAACAGAACAAAGAGAAAATTCCCTCCAGTAAGAATGCTCTTGAAATGATGGAGTTTCAAGACTCAAGTCCTGTAGAAACGTTGAGTATGCAGAACCACTGAAATCAAGTTACGCAGAATGCCCCAAAACTAAATAAACTGGAGGAGGAAGCCATTGGTCCTAGGTCAGGAAACTACTGAGATCAAAATGTGTAAATAGAGTATAGAAATCTTTGGTTGTGCACTACTGTGTGGGAGTTTATTGGGCCGACCATGTGCACAGGCCACATCCACTAGTCTTACTCTACATATGGCTCTGTGGAGTAAAGTTGTTTCTCACATTGGCTGGAAATCTGCTTCCTTATAAATTCGAGCCCTTATTTTTTCAGTGCCCTCCAGAGCTGCCCATTGGAAGACAGTCTTCGTTTCAATTGTAAATATAAAAGAGTTTCCAAACACTGGATCCCAATCAAACTGAAAATGAGGACCTAAAAGTAACACTACATATTCAACAATATATTTAATCATTGCGTTTATTGCTTCCAAATCTCACAAAGTAAACAGATGCTTCTCTCTCTACTTGACTGATTTTTAAACCATCCAGCTTGAGTCAGGTACACTGCACACATCCTCAGTTGCTCTTGGTAGCTGGGAAAAACAGAGTCGTGTTGCAGGATGTGGTCACTCTCAAATAACTTTGGAGCTTTCAAAGCATGTAGTGATTATGGCTGTAATACAGTCCTCTTTCCCACACAGAACCAGAGCTGTTATAGGAATATAGTTAATTTTGATTATGCAAAATTCTTCATACTGTTCAGTCTCACAGGCAACAGGTGAACAAAAGGTGGTCCATGTTTTAAATCAAGTTTAATTTGAGTGTCCATTGACTTTGAATTGATCTCATATAAAAGTTGAATTTAATCGTTTTTATATATAATAATGCTATATACTTACTTTCAATTGTAGAAGATGTTACAATATTAGATTTTTTTGCATAATCCAAGTGTAGTGGAGCAAAACAAATGATAAAGGATTTAGAAATGTTTAACAGAATTTTTCTACAAAAATGAAAGCAATTTGGATAATAAGCACAATTATTTTGTCTCTTACAATGCAACATTGGCTGAAGGTTGATAATGAATGGAAAGAGGACTTTAAAGAAAAAAAAAAAAGACTCAGGAAGAGGCCATAGATATAGGGATGTTATTTCCTCTCACCAAGGCTTACAGACAGGAAAAAAAAAAAAGCTCTTTCTGGGGGTACTGAGAATGAACTTGAGAGATCACTGAGACTTGCCTGTTAGAGATCCGGAACAGAGGGTGAGGCCAGAATGACAGACATGGTTCTTGGACAGTGAAACCAGGGATTGGCGGGGTCAGGAAGGTGTAACCAGTTCGGCCACTGACCGTGTGTGCCGGGCCTGTGGTTGGGTTCCTTGAGGATTTGGAACACAGATAACCATTTTTCAGTGCGGCAGAGAGATCAAATGAAAGCGCTCTCTCTACAGAAGATGCAGAGTTCGAGTGAACAAGATCGGTTTTTAGTGGAGCCAAGCCTAGCACAGAGCGCAGTAGCACCAAGGGTAAAGAACAGTAAATAAAGGAAGAGTCTGGGATTGTACGACTAGACAGGGTACTTTCTCCTGCAGTGAGACGCTGACAAAGAGCACTCAGTTGCAGATATAAAGGGATGGCAATGAGAATAAAATGACTAACAAATAAACTGCAGCAATTGTAGACAAAAGGCAGAAAGCCTTGTGTGTTAGGAAGTATATTAAATCAAATGCAGGGGGAGCTACCTAGGCCTGATAACAAGGATATGTCTGGGAACATTACCATAAATCAATGGCCAATGAGAAGATGCGCGGACGTCAGGATGACCCAATAATGAAACAAGATGAGGAAGGGATTGTTTCCCTTTAGTTTCTCCTTTCTGGAAAGGATGAACATTTCCTAGAGTCAGTAATTAAAACAATTATTTATTTTAAACCCACTTTAATTATTTATATATGCTTAAAATCAATAGTTCAGTCAACCCACCTATAGGTCATCCACTGTGGTATGGTCTTGCTTAAATCATTTGTTTCCAGTGCCACAAATAGACACAACAAAACCAGTCATTGAATTTTCTCTTTTTTTTCTTACACACACACACACACACATGCATACATACAGGGCAGAGCCAACTTAGGAAGGAAGACCACCAACCTGAGAGAATACTTCTTAGGCAACTGTAATCTGATTAGGGATAGTCTCTGATTCTGGAATTGTATGGTAATGTAGTCTAATATCCTGTTCTATTTTGGAAAAATAGATGTGAAGCTTATACAATAAATGTATATGGTATAATTAAAGGACCTTCATTCAGGCATATCTCCACTTTTAAAACCTAATATGGGTGTATCTTTTAAATGTAGGAAAGAAACGTATTCTCTTGCAACACAAACTTCTCGCACCTGACAGCAAGGATAATTGATACTCTTTCTTTGCTTGGGTTACAGGTGATTAAACATCTCAACAGATACAGGTTGTGAATACGATCAATATCAAAGCCTAGTCATTTTTTTAAATTTAGAAAATAATTCACTATGAATAATTTATGAAAATAGTGAACCAACACGATGCTTTATAGTTGGGATATATCATCAAGGGGAATTGATACAGTTCTAATTTGAACGGAAATTTCTTCCTACAACTCAAATTTGGACATTTAACAATTTAAGAAATGCAACGTAATGATACACTTACCTCAATTATGCTGGAATATGGCAAGGATACAGGAAAAGTACGTTAGGGCTACCATCCCAGAATCCAAAAACATCACTCAGTGGGTTACATGCACAGATAGACTCAGAGCGGGTGTAACTTAGAACTGATAATTAAATCAAGAATGTTCATTTACTGAGCTTGAGCCCGAAAATAAGATATGCTACTTCAGAAATCAGAAGCAGCTAGCACTGCCAGAACCAGCAATTTTAAAAGCATTCCGGTAATTGCCCGTGGCATTATGGCATTATGGCATTATAACATGGTACGTTATGCTCCTAATGAAGAGCTGAATCATAAAAAAGGCCATGTTTAGGACACAGTTTAGAAGGCTAGGAAATACAATGCATTTTAGGAAAAATTCTGACCAAAAAAATGATAATGAAAAAAGGAAGAAAGGCTTAAAGAAGCTAAGCAGTGATCAGAAAGGATAGGAATTCAGCCACTCTTAGGCCTGTAATAACAAGGTAGGCTTCTCACCTCTTTCTAATTTAATTTTCACTTCATATAAAATACTGTGCAAATAATTCACTCTCACTACCTACAGAGATCTGCCCTAAGTAGTACAAGTCTGTGAACATTGATTTGTTCTTACTATTCTTTCACGGATAAATTACTCTAAAAATCAAGACATCCATACCTGTGAGTCTTATTTACATATGAACATACTAAATATTCTGGATTCTCCAGGATTAAATTATATTTGATATAGTTTTTGGTAAATGTATTTTGTATTTTAAGTTTCCAGCAACTGCTAAGTCATATATGCTGTACATTCATAGTAATTCTCTAAGAGAAGGTACATTTTATTCTACTAAGAGGTAAAGACCTTTTTACCAGCTATTTAAGGTTAACAGATACATGGGAGGCTTCTAGAACTGGGCTAGTTTTAGAATTTCTAAGCACATACTCCTTTCAGAAATGATTAGAAAACCATGGGTCTCTGTATTTATTAAACTGAATCACCTGGCAGTAAAATTCCGTTAAGGCTCTTGGCATGGGCGAGACTTCCTCCCACTCAGATCTGCTGCTGTGGTAGACTTGCACTTCATCTGTGATTTCATCTGGTGCGTAATCACCACCTAAGATATAAATTTTGTCTTCAATTCCAACTGCGCCTGCATTAAAACCTGCACATTCAAAAGAGCCTTCACCTTTCCAAACACAAGTATCTGGACAAAAACTGTAAACCTTATAGGTGGAAAGGTCACATATGTACAGTGTGCAGTTTACTGGGACAGCTTTAATTAGTGTTGCATGAAAAAACTGCCCAAACTCTGCTACTAGTTCAGACCACTGATCAGTGGTCACATTGTATTTGAAAAAGCAATCAAGTGATGGGTTAAAGGCATCTGTAATCTCTACCTCTGACCCAAGAACATAAATGACATTTTGGCATGTGCTCGCTTCAGGATAGTATATGCCCCTGGGTAACGGGCTGACAGACATCCATTCTTTAGAAAGAGGGTCGTAAGACTCCACATCTAAGAGACTTCTAATGTCCTGAGACCCTTTCGTCTTTCCACCTATGACAAATAATCTGTTGAGAGCCAGAACTGATGTATGCATGGTTCTTGGTGTCTTCATAGCCGATACCAGAAAGAAATCATTTTTCACCGGACAGTAGCACCAGGTTTGGTCGGTCGCATCATGATAGGACTCTGCGATATGAAGCCGAACCGTTCTGCAGCATGGCCCTTTGCACCCGCCTGTCAGGAATATCTTCTCCCCGTAACTAGACAGACTAGACCCTGGCAAGTCAATCAGGTGTGACTGGGGCAGCACTTTCCACGAGTCACTGTTTATATTGTAGCAAAAGGTATACTGGTCTCCGCCGTTTTCCTCAGTTTTGTGAACAAATATGTATTTTTCGGTTGTGGATGGTCGAGCATCAGGGAAGAGTCCACCAGAACCTTGCACACACTTAACAGCATCCATGATTACATCAAAACAGTTTGTACTTTTGAGTAAACACTCTTCGTTGAGCAGACAGTTTTGAAGGGTCTCCTCAGATAACTGATGTAATCTTACCTTTTTAATCAAATAAGGCAGATGCTTTTGCCTTGATTCTAGGTTATGTTTGGTCCAGCTAAGGACAACCTTCAGTACAGTCTCTTCTTCGGGGACATTGAGTTCGTCGGATTCCAGACATTTCTGCAATACTCCAAAGTTCATGTCGAGGAAATCAGTGGACTTAAACAGTAAGGAGAAGTGGTGCTGCACGAAGGACAGCGCGTGCTCAAACAGGCGGGGAGAGCCGTAGCTGTCTGAGAGAGACAGTAACCGCAGACAGTTGACAAGGTTAATGCTTTTTATTAAGAAGTCACTGCAAGCTTTGGATAGGAAGGAAACTTGAAGAAACGATGACAACTGGAAGAACATTTCCACATTGTCATCCGTTATCTTGGTTTTCCCCGTGTAGGCGTAATCCAGAAATGCTCTTACTGCTTTCGAGGACAGATTAGTGATGGTGACGCTCCCACCGTCTCGCTCTTTCATGTTCACTTCAAACATGGCCCTGCAGGGAAAAAGAACACAGGAAAACAAGGAAACAGGAGTATTTGATTCCGTGGTATTTTTCTTTCTTCTTTTTTTTTCTTATTTTTTTTAGCTTTTTTTTTTGTTTCCCTGAGAGAGAGAGAGACAGAGACAGCGTGAGCAGGGGAAGGTCAGAGAGAGAGGAAGACACAGAATCTGAAACAGGCTCCAGGCTCTGTGCTGACGCAGGGCTCGAACCCACAAACCACGAGATCATGACCTGAGCCGAAGTCGGACACTTAACCGACTAAGCCACCCCTCAGTGCCACCTTAAAGACCTGTCCTTTACCTCCTTTACCCTCAGGTTGATTTAGAATATGTTTCACAAATATCAGGTTTATATTTATGAAATATATTTTTAAAGCATCTTAATAAATTATGTTAATATCTAAAACAGTCACATACCATATCATTTACCTTGAAAACACACAGACCCCGTCACTCCCATACTGCGGAATGTGTACATTATAGCTGCGGTACGGCATCTACTCCAAAGAAGGCCATAAAAAGATTGACATTTTGGAAACTAACTTCATGCTCTTAAATACCATTCGTAAAATTACGGTAAGGCCTGTCTGATGGCTGAATTTCTTTTTTTACGAGTTAATTAGTATCAGCTCTGCAGGTGATAAGTACAGGCATTTAAAATAGATAATGCTTCTGGGTTTAGGATTTAAAAGTATCTTTCAAATTAATTTTCAGTTTGGCAGCAGTGAAACATGTGGAAGATGGGATACATTGATATATCAGATGCCTCTAATGAATCTGTGTGGAAAATCCACCAAACAAGGTAAATTTAAATACATGTCTAAAGAGACACGTTTCATACAGCACTTTAGGAAAAAAAGGGAATGTGCTTTCATAAAGCTAAATGCCAAACTAAAAGGCTCAAACTAAGTTTGTGACGAAACACCCATCGAGAGATGGAGGGGGGTCCCCAGATTTGAATAATCAGACCAGCCAGAGAGTTCTTCTCTCTGTTGTAATTTATACCCACCTGGCAGGGGTGATAGATTCTAAGGAAGTAGGAACTTTTGGCACTCAGTTTAAGCAAAAATATAAATTATTCGGAAATGTTTGGGCAGGAGACCATGATGTATGTATTTTACGGTTGGTTTTGGTAAGACTAAGCTGGCCGCCCATCCCTGTATTAACATCCTATCCAGAACCATTCATTTTTACATGGACTCGCTATGACGGTTGTCGGTAGCACAGCCAGTGGAGGCTGAGGTTAAAGAGAAAGAGCTATGACAAAGAAGCAAGGACTTCCAGTAGTTAGGCATTCAGTAGCACTGGAGACTGACTGGTTTTGGTTCTGGTACAATACTGGTTTGTGACTGCACTGAATTTTCCAGGATTCCTTCGTGAGCAGCACCGATGAGCAGCGCCCCTCGGTGCTGAAGTACTCTGGGGGGAAGGCAATTTAGGTTTTTTTTGTTTGTTTTTGTTTTTTTTAAATGTTTATTTATTTTGAGAAGGAGAAAGAGAGCACAACAGGGAAGGGGCAGAGAAAGAGAGACAGAATCCCAAGCAGTCTCTGCACTGTCAGCACAAAGCCCGATGCAGGGCTTGAACTCACAAGCTATGTGATCATGACCTGAGCCAAAACCAAGAGCCAGACACTTAACTTGACAGAGCCACCCAGGCACCTCTAAACTAACTAAATTCTTAGAGTCCACTCTAGATGGTAATGAAAGCTATTTAAGAAGCGCTAGTATTAACTGAAAAGTCTGAGGAGCCTTCCAAATATAGAACACCCCTTAAGAAAAGGAAGAATGACAAAACACCCTCCCTAATACTCAAATAAATATGGTTACAAAACTTACATACATGTTCTACATGCAGTGTGTAACGTAGATCATTTCAGAAGTGTTAAACTGTGATGATAATTACATTGGCTTATGAGGACACGGATAGTCAGGTTAGGGTAATAGTGAAGGCCTGGCTTCTAGAATCTGGCTGCCTGGGTGACTATCTGGCCTATGCCACTTTATTGGCTGTGTGACCTTGGTGTTGCGGGGGAGGGTGAGGCAGGGGGTTTCTTCATTGTGCTGCAGTTCTTTGTCTGAAAATGGGAACACTTGTATCTATTTTGCTGAGTTGAGGAATACATGAGTTAATCAGTGCAAAGTATTAGCTATTATTATCATTTTAAGAAAATATTTCCTATCAGATCCTGTGTATTTTTAATTTATCACCAGCTTCCACATTTTCTTTGAGAAGACATATGTACGATATTTCCATACTTCAATCTGTTTATCTTTAAAGTCTCCAGTTAATATCGATCTCAAATTTACCATAACCATAAAGTGGTTGAACAGTACGTGTGATTCCTTTTCAGTCTTCTCTCCATGACTTTACATCTTATTCAAAAACTTTCATTTTCCAAAATCATTATAAAGTACATTTGTCATGCATTATGTACTTTCCTACTATTTCATATTTTTCCTCCTAATACTCCAGTAAGTTTGATCGTATCACACATTATGAATTAGTGGCCTTATCATATAAAGATTATAAATTATATAATTTCAGTCTAAATTTGTAAATAGTTTTAGATGAACGGTGTATTCCTTTAATAAAATACTATATATAATAAATAAATATGCTGTCTATAATATATATATGTATAATCTAGGTCATTATAGAACTGCCATTTGTGTTACTTCAAAACAGGGAGAAATTTTTAAAAATATATTGTCCTGTTTTAACAGCAGTTTTTTAAAATTTAAAGTAGATCCATAAAAGCTAGGAGCAGCTGAGAATATTATGGCCAAAAATTAGGTGCAGAAACATTTAATGAATACATAATTTCTCCATGATGAGTAGAGGACTTCCAATTCAAATGCTTACATGAACTTATTTTGTTAACATGAAAACACTGTAAGGAAATCAACTGGTTTGTTTACCAGATTTTGTCCATTTTTTGCTAGGTTTGGAAATAATAATAGTAATAATAATAATAGTAGTAGGTTGAATATAGTGGGCACTGTCCCAGTCATTACATACACATTATTTCATTTAAGTCTCACAATGACTGTGAATTGGATTGTTTTTATTATCTTGGTTTTTACAAGTCGGGAATCTGAGGCCTGAAGAGATTAAGTCACTAGCCTAAAGTCATGTGTGGTGAGTGGTAGGGCCGGGGTCAGATTGAGGGCGTGTGTGCCTAACCGTGGGGTCATCACTTCCTCTCGTGAGGAGGGGTCAGGAGGGTGAGGGAAAGGAATGCAGCTAACCAGGAAGAAGATGTGGAGGAGAAGAGAGCTGGGAACAAACTGGTGGCACCAGGGCGTGGCAGAGCGTGGGGGCAGCGAGGGGGCAGCGAGGCCCCATGGGCCTGGGACAGCAGTGTAGGTTACAGGGTCAGAAGCCGACTCTAGCTAGGCCACAGGCGTAGCCTCCTTGTCCCAGGGAGCCAGGTGCGGCCCTGAGTCACTGCTCCCACCTGCAGCAGGAGACCCCCCAGGGGCGGCGGTTATCAGTACCCTTTTAGAGGCTTCGCTGCAGAGCAAGAGCAGTGATGTCTAATCAGATGCTGGCAGTAAAACAGGAGTTAAAGGATTAAAACCAGTATTAGTGTATTTACATATTAAATCTTACTATGCTTTTACCAATTTTATTTACTAGAGATTTAAGTCCTGCTTATTTTGAATACAAATTGCTTCCAACAATGAATATAATGCAAATAGCACAGTTAGGATGAAGTTTATTGCAGTGTGACTGGAGGGCTGGAGGCCAGGATGTCACCCAGAGAGGCCTGTGTGTCTGAGCCACAGGCCTTGCAGGATGATATGACCCTGAAACAGTTACCAGGTACCGAGGTCATGCATCCGACCCTGTACCTTGCGGAATCTGAAACCACGGCCACCACAGTGGGTTCTTAAAAAGGCTCATGACTTGGACATTCTAATCAGAACCAAATTCTATTCAGAAGGTTGCCTAGAATCAGAACAAGTTTGGTATTCTCCAAAAATGCTTCTGGAGATACTTTTCCTCTTTATCAAACAGAGGGGAAACCTCTCCCTGGTATATTCCTTGGGTACAATATCTGACTGAAATCCATTTTCCTCTCAGCGTCTTCATTTTCTTTGAACTATATTTCCACATTTTATCCAGCTGTCCTTTCCTCTTTTCTAAATGACACAGTGCAAGAATTCCCCCAAATAAAATGAACGCTGGATCAAAACAAGTTTGTTCTTTTTTTCCCCAGAACATTTCAAAGAACCAGTGTTCCATACAATGTTGGGAAATGCTGATCTGGGAAGATCTGAGTTTTTAAAAAAGGTAGTCTTAAATTTTTATATTCAAAAATCATTAATCTAGGTTCTAATTAGCTTTTTTTTAAATTTAAAACAAATTTTTTTAACATTCATTCATTTTTGAGAGACAGAGGCAGAGCGTGAGTGGGGAAGGGGCAGACAGAGAGGGAGACACAGAATCTGAGCCCGACGCGGGGCTCAAACCCACGAACTGTGAGATCATGATCTGAATCAAAGTTGGAAGCCCAACTGACTGAGCCAGCCAGGTGCCTCACCTTTTTTTTTTTTTTTTTTTAAGAGTTGAAAATTACCACTGCATGCTCCTATAGGGGAGAAATTCAGCAGTTACAAAAAATAAATGTAGTAACACAAAATCAGAGGCATAGACAGACAAGATCAAGTACCTGAAGAAGTCACTGCATGCTGCTAAGACACAACGATGACATGGGATTGTTTCATCTTTCATGATTATTTTGAAATCAAAAAAGACATTTTGTTCTCTAAAATTCTGTAGAACACTTAAGATTTTCTGTCCATGATCTTCAGACACAAGGAAGTTGTTTTTCTTCTCAGAGGGAAGTCCATTACATGATTTTCGTTGGTTGAGATAATATGAATTATCCATAGTCAATTCAATTTGTTCTTAGAACTGGAATGAAAGACAGGAGAGTCCTGATGAAATTCCAGACCCAAAATTTGTTTAATGTCAATTACACAAAAATGGTAAGAACAGTCATAATAAACCTTGTTCTAAACATTTTTCATGACATTTACCAATAAATTTCTTTTGAATTTTTATAAATATTGAGCTCACTAGAAAATAAAGAGTATATTAAGTTGAGGGATAAAGTTCAAATCTGTATTAATTACTGTGTCAAATAGTACCATTTAGGGGCACCTGGGTGGCTCAGTTGGTTAAGCATCCAACTTCGGCTCAGGTCATGATCTCCTGGTTCGTGGGTTCGAGCCCCTCATCAGGCTCTGTGCTGACAGCTCAGAGCCTGGAGCCTGCTTCAGATTTTGTCTCCCTCTCTCTCTGACCCTCCCCTGCTCATGCTGTCTCTCTCTCTCTCAGAAATAAAAAACATTAAAAAAAATTAAAAAACAAAATTTCTAAAAAAAAAATAGCACTATTGATAACTTGTATATGTAGCTCATATAGGATTTCCCCACAGGACTAGTCTTGTTACACGTAAGAGTTATTATTTTATAGCAGCCATCACATGGGTATACACCCAACACATACTTCTCCCCTCCCATCCATTTTTTTCTTGTAGCAAAATCGATATTAAAAATTGATCTCAAAGCATAGGTATATGCCTTCTGGGGTTCAACTTTCAAGATAGGAATTATTGAAAAAGATCAGTGTTGGACTGTGTTAACTAGTTATGGCCTTTTGAAAGGAAGAAAAAGGCAGGCATTGTTCCAAGTTGGCCTATTTGCATATGTTTTCTTTTTGTTGTCTGATTGCTAAGGCTAGGACTTTCAGCCCTGTTTTGAATCTAGGTGGTGAGAGGGAACAACCCCATCGTGTTCCTGACCTTAGAGGAAAAGCTCTCAGTTCTTCCCCACTGAGGATGATGTTAGCTGTGAGCTTTTCATAGATGGGTTTTATTATGTTGACGTATGTTCTCTCTAACCCTATTTTGTTGAGGGGTTTTATCAAGAATGGATGTTGAACTTCATCAGCACACTTCTATTAAAATGATCCTATGGTTCTAATGCTTTCTTTTATTAACATGGTGTATCACATTGATCGATTTGCAAGTCTTGAAGCAACCTAGCAACCCAGGAATAAATCCCACTTGATTGTGGTGAATGATTCTTTTAATGTACTATTGGATTCAATTTGCTAGTATTTTACTGAGAATTTTCACATCCATGTTCATCAGGGATATTGACATGTAGTTCTCTTTTTTAGTGGAATCTAAATGATTTTGGTATCAGGGTAACGGTTGCCTAATAAAATGAATTTGGAAGTTTTCCTTCCATTGTATTTTTTTGGAAAAGTTTAAGAAGAATATGAGCTCCTCTTTAAATGTTTGTTAGAATTCACCTGTAAAGCCCCCTGGTCCTGGACTTTTGTTTTTTGAGAAATTTTTGATTACGGACTCCATTTCTTTGCTGGGTATTGGTCTTTCAAATTTTCTATTTCCTCCTGTTTCAGTTTTGGTAGTCATGTTTCTAGATATTTACCCATTTCTTCTACATTGTCTAATTTGTTGGCTTATTTTTTAGAATATTCTCTTATGATTATATTTCCATGGTCTTGGTTGTTATTTCTCCTTTCTCATGTGTGATTTTATTATTTGAGTCTTTTCTCTCTCTCTCTCTCTCTCTTTTTAAAACCAAGTTGGCCTATTTGGAAGGACAGAAAACACTATAACTTCACCAAAAAAGGCCTTTTAAACATGAGATCAGAAATCCAAGATGGTTGAAAGCCAGATAACTATGACTTTCCCAAACTGCAGATTCACTTCTATGCAAACAAGTTTACCCACCAAAAAGCAAGGAGGCAGGAAACAGGTACCCTACCCATTCAGAGAAACTTGTCTAGTAGCACACTAGAAATGATCCCTGAGAGAGTCTTCGGAAAGGCAAAGAAGACTAGGAACCAGGGAGCCAGAGAAATAGGGAACATTGATTTCCTTAATATGCTTTTATTCCAATTATCTATTGCTTTCCAAATCACCTTAAACTTAGTGGCTTAAGATAGCACTTAGTTGCATCTCATGGTTCTGTGGGTTTTGCTGGAGCTTCTTGCATGGGGACCTTCACATACTTAAGACTCAGATGGCAGCTCTGGCCAAGGTCATCTGAAGGCCTGACTAGGTACAAGTCCAGCATGCTTCCTTCCTTCACATTCTGGATGCTTCCAATGGGATCGCTAGAACAGATGGGTGTCTGTCTGCATGCACTCTCTCCATGTGGCCAGCCTATTCTTCCTCATAGCACAGCAGTGTTGGGGTGGCTGGGTTTCTTACATGGAGGCTGGGTTCTCCCAGAGGGAGTGTTTCAGGCCCAGGAGGAAGCTCCATACCCAACGGTCCTGTAGCATCCATTAAAGCTCTAGGACGTGGCCCATCTACTGCTATGTTGTCCAGTATAGTAACCATGAGCCATGTATCACTATTTAAATGTAAATTACCTAAAATTAAATTAAAAGTGTAGTTGCTCTAGCCATATTTTAATCAGTAGCCATATGTAGTGATGGTTACTTTTATGTGTCAACACAACTGGGCCATGGAAGGTCCAGATATGTGGCTAAGCATTGTTTCTGGATGTCCAAGGGGGTGTTTCTGGATGAGATTAACATTTGCATTGGAGAGTAAGTAATGCAGGCTGTTCTCCCTACTGTGAATGGGACTCACCCCATCCATCCCAGAATAGAATAAAAGGCCAAGTAAGAAAGAATTATCTGTCTGTCTGTCTGTCTGTCTGCCTGCCTGTCTTGGAGTTGGAGTTCCAGGCTTCTGTGCTTTGGACAGAGACAGGATGGTACCAGTGCTGTCAGCTCTCCTGGGCCTCCAGCTTGCAGGCTGCAGACCTCAGACTCCATGATCATGGGTGCCAACTTCTTATAGCAAATCTGTCTCTCTCTCCAACTGGTTTCTCTGGAGGACTCCACTAACACATGTGGCTCTTCTGATGTACAGCAGAAATACACAATATTTTCCTTATCATGGAAGTTCAGTTGGATGGTTTCTGTAGTGTACGAAGGAAGCAGTGTGCACACGTGTGTGAGAGGGCGTGTGCACTACCAGTGGGGGGGAGTAATAGGCTGGAATGGACAGTATTTTTGGAAAAATAAGTTACCTGCAATAATTTGGTGAGCAGAGTTCTAAAGTAGTTGTAAGTAGGAAGACATAGTAAGCATGGGGGTCAGGAAGGGAGAGAGATAATTAGAGGTTTGGGGCAGTTCTAAAGAAAAGGCAGGCAGAAAACAGTTGTATTGGTCGGAATTCTCTAGAGAAACAGGACCAGTGAATCAGTAGGTTACAAGCCTAATGGTTTTGGTAGGCAGACACACGCACATACCCACTGGTACATGTGTGTCATGTGTGTGTGTCTGTAAAAAATAAGGACTTGGCTCACAGAATTGTGGAGGTCCCAGGATCAGCAGTTGGCTCTCTGGAGACCCAGGACAGCTGGTGGTGTACACTTGTCTGCAAGCTGGCAGCCTCGAGAGCTGGGAATAGCTGACTTTTTCACTTTGAGTCCAAAGGCAGCAGTGATGGTCTCAACTCAGCATGCAGGGAAGGTTCATCTCACTCAGGAGTTTTGTCCTATCCAGATCTTCCACTGATTGGATGAGGCCCACCCTGATTAGGAAGGACAGCTGCTTCTCTCAGACTGTCTGTCCAAGTGTTAACTTCATCTGGAAGCTCTCTCAACAGAAACACCCACAATAACGTTTGACCAAATGTCTGGGCACCCTGTGGCCCAGTTAAGTTGATATAATACATTAATCATCAGAACACTACAAATCTTTACTTAGCAGTGTTAATAAAATGTGATCTTGGGTGGAAAAGAATATATAACCCAAGTTAGATGGGGTGTACAGATAATTATGTACGGCTGCCACCCCAGGAGTAATTCTTCACCTTGCAAGGCATGCCTCTTAAGCCACTTGTAAAACTCCGTTTTTAAAATTACGGAAACTTTTCTTCCTTTTCTAGTAACTAAAAGTCATCCGTTTTCCCAGGGCTGTGATATAACGTAGGCAGGAGTACAAAGAGGCTTCAGAATCAGAGAGATGGGTTCTGGTGCTGCTGGTCCCTAACCCGAGGCCAGGAACATCTGGTCTTTGATTCTCATTTTTTCCTTCTGTAAAATAGGGATAAACTATACCTGTCAGTCGTGTTGTTGGGAAGAGTAAAGATAATACATTCTTTAGCATTTATAAAAAAAAATTTTTTAATATTTTATTTATTTCTGAGAGAGAGAGAAAGACAGCATGAGCAGGGGAGGGTCAGAGAGAGAGGGAGACACAGAATCCGAAACAGGCTCCAGGCCCTGAGCTGTCAGCACAGAGCCCGATGTGGGGCTCGAACCCATGAACCGTGAGATCATGACCTGAGCCCGATGTGTGGCTCGAACCCATGAACCGTGAGATCATGACCTGAGCCGATGTCGGATGCTCAACCAACTGAGCCACCCAGGCACCGCCCCTCTTTAGCATTTAGTATATGCTAAATAAGTGGAACTTAGTACTTATTTTCTGCTAAAATTTTAACACAAAAGCCAAGGAAATCACATAACTGACATTAATCAGGAGGTTCACATTCCTCATGCGGTGGGGAGAACGGCGAGAGAAGCAGCTCTCTGGTAACGGCTAAGACTGAAGAGAAGAGTCGAACCCTAGAGCTGTCACTGTAAGAGTTTCTCTGGAGTGCCAACAGTGGACAGAAGATACGCCCTGCTTGAGACTTGAGCCAGCCTCTTACTGCCTCCATGATGCTGCAGGGAAAGACCAAGGAGTGTGTCCACTACATAAAAAAGTATATGGGGCAGAGAAGCAGACATGGTCTATATGAGACAGACAGACATAACTTAATGCTGTGCAAAGGGTCAGTGCACCTTCTCAGCATGCAGGGAGACCAAGGTGCATCTCCTGGTCTGTTTCTTGCTTCCGGCAATGGACTGGTGCGTCAGTGATCTGTAACAGCAACGTGGGGTCTCTGCCCAGCCTGCCGCAGAGAACCACGGAATTGGTGGGGAGACAGTCTGCGCCGCCTAGACGTGCCTGGACCTGCTCTCAATTCTCATCCGTTTAAAGATACATATTTAAATCTCTCTGACAGAGGAAGTTAGATGCTGAAGATAGAAAGATACATTTGTCTCCTGTAATCTTAGATTCTTCTTGGGTTGTAAAAGTTCTCTCAAGGTTTAGGATTGTAGGTGTTGACAAGGCTCTGTGATCCAATAATGGACTGTGTAAAGCAGAGATTCCTACCCTGAGCTTCAAGCTGTCTAGTCAGGGAGAGTCGGAGGGAAGGACGTGGGCAGACAGTGAATACTCGTTTCACAACACTTTCATTCTGCATGTGATTTTGTACATGTGCGTGTGTATCTAATACATACAGTTAATTTTAAAATATATTTTATGGGCATTAAAAAATACCTCTATTTTCCAATTCTTTAATGTCGCCGTGATTACCACTGGAAACTACCAGAGTTTAAGTAATATCATGCTGATTCCACCCCCACCCAGCTCCATTCGTTGTATATCTCCACTGAGATGAATGGCCTCTATACTTCCCAAGCCAGACACTCAGAAGTCCTCCCTCCCCAACCATATCTATTTTAAAGCCACTACCTTTTCTCCACCGTGCTGCCGTTCTTCAGGATGACTCTCTCACTCTTCTCACTTGAATTGCTACATTGCCTGCACTCAGGTCTTCCCTGTTCTGTAAAGCTTTACAGAATATCCTCTGGGCTTCAAACCCATGTGGGCACATAAAGATAAATGAATCACAGGGCCCCTGCTCTTGCAGGCCTCTGGGCCGGGTGGAAAGAAGGAAGCAACAAGTGTGATAAGGGTCAAAATGGAGATGGGAAGAGCATCATGGAGGCAGGAAGGACAAATCTCAGGCTTGCTCTCAGACGGTAGGAGGACCAAGCAGAGAGGGGAGAGAATGAAGGAAGACATTCTGATGAATGTGGTACTTGAGCTGTTAAAGAAAAAATGAAAGATGATTACCAAAGAAGGTGAGAAAGGCATTTCCAAGAGAAAAAATGGTAAGTGCAGAGATGTGGATGAAAGAATTCTCATAGCCCATTGGGAGGAACATGATATTGAGGGTCAGAGAGGGGCAGATAAGGCTGGAGTGGTACACGGGGGCTGGCTCACGCGGTCTTGCTACCACGCAACGGGCCTGGGTTTCGTTCTAGAGGTAATGAGGAATATTTAGAAGGACTTTAAATAGGAGAGGAATTACACCATTGGATCTGTATTTCAGAAACATCATTCTGCTAGGAATACAGCAGTGAGTAACCAAGACGTGGCTCTTTTTCTCATGGCGCTTACCATCTAAGGTAGCATTCACTGGTATGAGTAATAACAATTTAAAATATCCAAACAATGGTTTTTTTTTTAATAAGAAATAAATTATTGTTATTGTTAAGGCACTGAGATGTATCTATTACAAGAAATAGGATTATTTTAATTAATGCATGTTAATTTTAATCCCAGCAACTCAAATATATTAATCCAAATATCTGTCGACTTTTTTTGTTTTCTGCATAAAAAACTTTTGTAGGCAGTGGGGCTTGCTAATTTTCTTTCCTATTTTTTTACAGGCGTTATTTCTTTTTCTTTTACTACAGAAGTAGCTAGGATCTCCTGTACAATGTTTAATTAAGGCAACAATGGTTTATAATACTTTTTAATAAACATATTTGTGTATATATAATTTATACCTAATTATTTATACATACATAAAGAACTTGTAACTTATGTGTTAGATTAAATCAATTATTGAGAATCACAGTTCATGGATAAAAAGTGAACCCAATGATATATGTATACAGTAATTTTTATTCCTAAGACTGGTAATATAAGTAAAAGTACTTAGTAGAAACTTTCAAGTATCAAACTAATACATTAGCATTACGCATAGGTATTAATTTTGGTAAAGTGCTAAAAAGTTAAAGGCTGGCATGGTTACTTCATATAGAATGGCTTCATAGAGAAACTGAAATTTTTTTTTTTTTTAATGTTTTATTTATCTCTAGGAAAGACAGAGAGAGACAGCGTGAGCAGGGGACGGTCAGAGAGAGAGGGAGTCACAGACTCTGAAATAGGCTCCAGGCTCTGAGCCGGCAGTCAGCACAGAGCCCGACGCGGGGCTCAAACCCACGAACCGCGAGATCACGACCTAAGCGAAAGTCGGATGCTTAACCAACTAGGCCACCCAGGCGCCCCGTGAGAAGCTGAAATTTTCTATTTTCTTAACTTGGTTTGAATTCCTTTCTGTATGTAGACTTTGTTTAATTACAATAATTGTAAGTGCTATTGAAGAGAAAGGGTGTTGGAAAGTGTATGAAAGGGATAGGGGAACTCAATCCACAAGATACCTAAAGCCATTGAAATGGATAAACATCAATCAAGGAAAATAAGTAGAATTAGTAGAGAAGAGGGCAGAGAATGGAACTCCAACGATAACTAACCATAAGGGACAGACCATTTAGTTGGAGAATTATTCGTGTAGCACCTGCTACCTATCAGGTGATGGTCTTGATGAACTGAAAATACAGTGGAAAGTACAATTTGTGGAAGACACCGGTGAGGAAAGCTAAGGGAAAACTCACAAAGAGCAGGGACAGAAATGGAGGGAAATTAGGAGAGGTGGGGGGAAGTAGAGGAGAATTTCCCATCGGAAGTAGTTACATCATCCAAAGCTGAGGAAGGTAGGCAAGGTAAGGACTGAAAAGACATTGTTGATGATTCGGGGGTGGGGTGAGGAGAGACCCGATTATAGTAGTTTTAAGAGGGAATACTGGACAGAAATTTGTATAAATTATTTTTTAAAGAAGTTCATTGAGCTAAGAGCTAGGAGGTGGTGGATTCTAGGAAATTTTGTTTTACTTTGTTTGAGAAGGGAGAAACCTGAGCATGTAATACACTGAGGAGAGAGTGGCAGCATGGGGGGAATTGAGGGAAACGAGAACAACAATCTTACATCCATATCACAAAGCAAATCTTTCCGGGCCTTTAAACCAGTACATCAAGGAACAATACTTTATGATGAAGCTTCCATTTCTGTTAACAGGTAAACATTGATAGGCAAGTAAATGGTTAGAGACTCTTACCTTTTATAGTTATTTAGTGATATAAGAAGCCTGAAGGTACTAGAATTTATAATAAATAATTTATATAGTTATTTCATTCATCATCCATAATCCTTTAATTTTGGTATTAATAATGACTGTTTTCAAAATGGGAAATTGAGGCTTAAGATTGAATAATGAGCATTAAGATGTAAAACCAGTAGAAACCTGCTTAATTCAAACTTCATACTCTTTTCAATACTCTGCTGGCTGTAGATATTAATATCAAATGAAAGCATGGAGTCCTTTTCATGTGCATAAGACTCAACCATAAATGTACTGGCCAAAAAAGTTACCATGGCACTTTAAGGTCATTTTGAATAAGAAAGATATATTGGATAATAAAAATAGCTAACATTTATAGGGTCAGTACTTTGTGCCAGGTACTGATCCCTGGGTTTCACCCAGTATTTAACTTAATTCTTATAAATATTACTCCTATAGAAGAGAGTAAGGTGTAGTAGGCATGCTCTGCACTCTTTCTGCTGCTAAGGACAACTGAAAACCCTGGACACATATAAAAATACATATCATCAATATATGAGGACTCTGAAAGGTGGAAACAGGCTGACTAGCTAGTGAGCATGGGACCCAAGAACAGTACAGTGGTGAGTTCCTTGGGTTTTATTTTTGCCCAAGATATCCCATATACTGAAGAAGGGGACAGCACGAACACCACTGGGCACATGCATAAAGAGCTCCAAGAGGAACGCCATCTCTTTGCCACAGGACCAGGAGCAACACAGCAAGACAGAAACGTTTTGACAAACATGAGGGAAAAACTGACTCTCTACAGGCACCCATGTCAGCAAAAGTGGAATGGAGAACCTAGCACCCCACCCCTCCCAGGCTGTAATGAGCTGCGTCAACTCTCCTCCTCCTCCTCTCCTCCTTATGGAGTGGTATCGGGGAAGGCGGAGTGGGTAGCCAGTCCAGTGGTAACAAGAGTCCACATCACTTCCCCTCCACCATCATTGGAGTCATGTGACACATGGGATCTTGGATTTCTACTCCTACCTGGAAGTGACATGGCATTCCTCCCTGTCCTTCCTGGGGTGGAGGTAGAGGCCCAGTGAAGATGTAAGACTTCTCACAACCACTTAGTAGCAACAAGACCACCCTCACATGATGTCCATGGGGACCACGGGGAGAGCTGTAACTATGTGCCCCTCCCTGTCCCAAAGTGGTATCAGGGGGTGCAAAGAGGGGAGCCTGAACTCTTAACTCCATCCAGCAGTAAAAAGAGCGCCTCCTCTCCCAGGCATCCAAGAGGTGAGGTGGAAAATCTAGACTTTTATCCCAACACAGCAGTAATGAGCTGGTGGCCTTAACAGAGCAGTGTCAGGAAAGACCCACCAAAATACAAGATATAAATAGGATCTAGAGTCTTATTACAAAATATCCAATATAATCCCCAAACCAAGAATATATCCAGTTGAAAGAGAAACAATCAACAGACACCGACACAGGACACAGATGTCAGAATTATCTACCAGGAAATTTAAAGCAGCCTTCACAGAGATGCTGCAATGAGCAATTACATAGCCTATGTGATTTTAATGCTTTTCGGTCTTTTGAGGTTTGTCTTGTGGGTTAGAATATGGTTACTCTTGCTGTATGTTCCGTGGCACTTGAAAGTAATGTGAGTTCTTTTGTTAGGTTGAGTTTTCTATAAATGCTGATTAGATTCTATTCATTCATGGTGTTGAGTTCTTCTGTGTCACTTCTGACTTACTATCTTCTTGTTCTGTTGAAAGAGGGGTATTAATGTCTCCAGCTGTAACAGTAAATTTGCCTATTTCTCTTATCGGTTCTATTAGTTTTTGCTTTAGATATTTTGCAGCTCTGTTGTTTGGTACATAGACAATTAGGTTTGCTATGTCTTCTGAGTGGATTAACATGTAATATTCCTCTCTGTCCCTCATAATTTTCCTTGCTGAAGTCTACTTTATCTGGTATTAATATAACCATACCTGTTTAATTACTGCTTGCATAGTATATATTTTTTCATCCTTGACTTTCAACCTACTTATATCATTCTATTTGAGGTGAATGATTTATAGGAAGTATATAAAGTTGGCTCATTTTTAAAAAATCTATTCTCCTAATCTCTTTTAATTGACATATATAGACCACTTATATTTAGTGCAATTATTGATACGTTAATACTTAGGATTGCTATTTGGTTGGTTGTTTTATGTTTTCTCTATTTTTAGTTTATCTTTTTTATTCTTTCTGCCTTCCTTTGGGTTACTTGAACCTCTTTTAAATTCCACTTTAGCTTGGCTATAGCGACTATGGGTATATCTCTTTGTATGGACATTTTAGTGGTTGTTCTAAGTATTACATATACGTGTGTGTGTGTGTGTGTGGTGTATGTATATATGATAATACTTGTGTAAACATTTTACCAGTGTAAGTAAAGCATATATACTTTACACTTTTTTACTTCCCTTTACTCTCCCTCATTTCCTTATTATATAATTGTTTTAAATAACCATTACATAGACACTGTTATAATTTTTGCTTCAACCTCAAGAAACTTCAAAAAGAAGAGCAAAGTAAACTGAATGTAGACAGGTGAAAGGAAATGATAAAGAGCAGAAATCTACAAGCCTTGAAGATAATCAGAAGGATAAGGAAAAGAATACTATAAACAACTCTCCCTGTTACAATTTAGTAGGGCAGATGACATGACTAATTCCTCAAAACCCACACATTATCACAACTCACTCAGGATGAAATTTTGAATAGCCCTGTAATTTCTTATTAAGGAAATTAAATTCATCAAAATTTGTTTAAAAGTTAATACCAAATCTATATAATTTCCTCCAGAATACAGAAGAGGAGGGACCATTTCCCAAGTAATTTTATGATGTCAGTACTACTGTGGTACCCCAGACAAAGACAATACAGTAAGAGAAAAACAAAACCACAGATCAATATCCCTCATATATAATTTTTTTTAATTAGCAAAAATAATTCAGGATCTAAAAAGAATTGTGCACAAGACCAAGTAGGTTTATCCCAGGATGTAAGGGTGGTCCAGTATTCAAATATCAATTAATGTCATCCAGTGCTGAAACAAACTGAAAAAGAAAAATCACATAATTGTATCAACTTGACACAGTAAAAACACTGAGAAATCCCACTTTTATTCATGAGAAAACCTCTCAGCAAACAAAGAACTGAGAAGAATTTCCTCAACTTGATAAAGCACATCAACATAACATAATCAACATAAAAAAATCTATAGCAAAGAGACCAAATGGTAAGAGACTGAATGCTTTTGCTCTAAGATGATGAAAATGGCAAGTGTGTCCACTCTTAGCATTGCTATTCATCATAGTACTGGAAGTCCTAGCCAGCACACTGAGGCAAGAAAATTCTGTAAGAGGCTTATACATTTGAAAGGAAGAAACAAATTGCCTCTATATTTACAGATGATAAGACTGTCTACAAAGAAAATCCCAAGTAACCTAAAAATATACATACAACTAATAAGTGACTTCAGCAATGCCACAGCAATGATATAGGA